AGAAAAAGCATTTGACAAAATTCAACACCTCTGCTCACTGAAATGAAATAGAAGGGAACTTCCTTGACTTGATAAAGGGACCTTATGAGAAAAGTGTCACCAGGTGCACCACTTAATGACTTTTCCCTAAGACCAGGAAAAAGGAAAGGATGTCCACTCTTGCCACTTTACGTCAACATTGTACTGAAGGCTCTCAATATTGAAATTAGGCAAGAAATCATCTAGAATGGAAAAGAAACAAACTACCTCTATTCTCAAAAAAAAAAACCTCAGGAAAGAAATCCATTAGGAAATTATTAGAACAAATGAATGAATTCAGCAAGGTTGCAGGTTATAAGATTAATACACAAAAATCTATTATATTTCTACATGATCTCGATTAACAATTTGAAAACAGCATTTTTAAATGATTCCTTTTACAATAGTATCAAAGCAATAAAATACTTAGAAATAAGTTTAACCAAACAGTTTAACGTTTACACTTCAAAAAAATATAAAACACTGCATGAAATTAAAGAAGACCTCTGCAAGTAAAAAGACACCCATGTTCTTGGATTGGGAAACTCAATGTTGTTGATGTGGCAATGAGTCTCCAAATTGATCTATAGATTCAATGAAATCTTTATAAAAATTCCAGTAGGCTTCTTTGCCATATCTCAAAGTATGTGTGGCAATTCAGGGACCCAAAATAGCCAAAACAGTCTTGAAGGGGGACAAACTTGGGATATTCAATTCTCTTCAAAATATACTTTAAATCTATAGCTAATAAGACTGTAGGGGGACATTTGTTTAGCAAATAAATGCATCTTTAATTATGCCAGTGTCAAGAAGGATATGGAAACAAAACTTCAATCAAGTCTAACATGCAAAAGCTTTACATGGGTGGGATTTTGTGGATAGAAATAATCCTAGTGAACAATGAACTGTGTACTACTTCCAAGTTGGTGTGACATAGGGAAAAAGAGAATAATCTCAGAAATAGATAGGAAGTTATGTTAAAGACAAAATAGGAGAACACAAGGCACCAAAGTCTTCAGAAATTATGGGACTGGTACCAAACATCTTACAGAATTTGAGAAAGAAACTAAAAGTTAACTTAATAGAGATTTCAAATGACAGAGCAACCTTAGCTATCATCTATGCTACAAGTGCAGTGTTCACTTGAGGAAAAAAATGCTACTGAATACAATTCAATATTTGTATGAGGAATTAAAAGGTCTTTAAGACCATGCTTGGATATTGCCGTGGTAGAGATTAGTCAGAGAAGTACAAAAGGGCTTGTTGATGAAGAAATGCTCATTTCTTAGAATGCTATTACTCTTTAAATTACCTTTATTTTCAGCTAGGCATAGAATTATTCTCTGTTTTTCATCTCAGAATAATTTCTCGTAGGTTCTTTGATTGATCAGAAACTATGTTGCCAAAAATGTCTTTTCACCTTTCATATTTAACAAATAATGCATCAATTATGTCACCTTACCCTGATATGACCTGACATTTTACCTGAACAAATTGCAACCAAATCCTTCAATGACTTTTTAGAATCTGAAACAAAATGAATTTGATCCAAAAGGGAACGCTGAGATACAAATGCATGCATCTATGAAATGCCATGAACCCAAGGTTATGATATTTTCCACTAGAATATTTTCAATGCATTATTTACTTTAGAGAAACAGTAATTTCTCAGCACTTATACAATGATGGCTATAATAAATATTTATTTTGAATTTTATAAAAGCAAAATTATCTTGATTTTGCTCCCATATGGAAGACAAAATAATGTTTATCACTGCCTAAATAAAACCTTCATTCTCTATGTCATGAGGTGGTAAGATTGATATTTAAACATATATTGTAGCTTCTTGAGTTTCTTTGAATATTTCAGAAAAGAAACTCTGCCCCAAATTCTGTCTCTATATAAAACCCACCCAACTTTTCCAACTATTGCACCCTTGACCTAGCTAAATTATGTTCCCTTGGGCCCAGGAAGTGAATATCCTCAAGTCTACTTCAATTTTTCCTTCTCCCTCACCTCCTTCACTTGATCATCAAATCTCACCAGTACTGTGTTCTACCCTGAGTCTCCCAATTTATTCCAGGACTGTTGCCAGAGGTAGCTTTCCAAAAACACTCTGGTAATCTTCTCTTCTAAAACACTTGTTTTACAAATTACAAAGGTGTGAGGCCAAGGAGTATGGGGGTAGTCTCTTTAATGTTGGCTTTAATTTTGCTGTGAAAATAAGGCTGCTGAAAAAAAAATCCTATTTTCAAAATCACCAAACAAAATTTTCTGACACCACTGCACTGTCCACAAGATAAACTCAGATCCACAATGAAGAAACATACTTCTTTAGCCTTCCCTCCCTCTACCACATGGTAGTATGCTGCCCTTCAGAAGCAATGATGCCCAGGCCACTCAGCACCATGTCCTCTAATGCCACAGTGTCCTCTGCTGAATGTGCCTCTGCCCTGTCACTCAGGAGGCTGCCCTTGCTCACTCACTGGGAGCCAGTTCCTGCTCTCCCTGCTTCTGCTGTGCCAAGCAGGGCCTCCAGCATAATAAGCATCTCATTGCCTAATTAGGTATTCACACATTTGATTTTCTCCTTGGCCTTCTTTGAAACCAGGATTGAGTCTTATTTACATGCATATTTCCCAATGTCTAATTTTATAGGCTTTCAATTTAAAAATCAATGTTTAATGAATAAGGTCTGATGAGACATGACTTGCCAAGGTCTTTGGTTCTCCAGTCCCTGTAAGTTCCTCAAAACCTCTCCTGTCCTCCTGGAAGCCTCCCTATCATTTCTTAGCAGGCATGACATCTCATCATAGGGGAAAATGGGGAACTTAACGTGCAGCCTCTCCTACAGATCATTACTCTTTTACAAACTTGCTGTGCTCATAGCATTTTCTCTCCTCAAATGAACTCAGTGAACCAAACCATCTACTTCTGTCTCCCCAGTACCTGGGCTCCTCCATTTAATGTTCAAGGTGCTCAAGTGACTTCCATCTGAAAATAAACCCTCCACAGCCATGTGATGCTCGCTCCATCCCCTTTACAGTTGTTTATCAAAGGGAGTCTGTTCTGATTTCCCCCCACACTCTCATCTCTGTTTCTCAGACTACTGCCATCCTCTGTCTCCACAGCTTCTCTGAAACTGCTCTGGCCAAAGTCATCAATAACCTTATAACCATAAAATAGGATGAACCCCCCAGATCTTTACAGAAGGTCAGGGTTAACCATGCCAACTGTCAAAAAAATAATTAATTCTACAATGAAATACCATTTCATACCCACCAGGTTGGCACTACTTTTAAAACCTTAGCAAAGTGTGGAGAAGTATGAACTCCAACGTGTAGCTATTGGGAAGGTAACTCCACGTAATTGCTTTGCGAAAGCAAAAAGAGGATTATCTAAGTAAGTTGAAGGTGTGCATAGCCTTTGATCAAGCAATTTTTCTTCCCAGAGAAAATTTAAGGACACTCTGGCATATGTGTGCCAGGAAATTCATGCAATATCCTTTAAAGCTGTGTAAAACTTGGGGGGAAAATCCTAATATCCATTGCCAGAAGAAATGGTAAATGATAATATCATTCTACAATGACAAACCACGTAATATTATAAAATAGATGCATATAAAACAGCCAAGCATATCCATGTGCTTAAACTTCTTAAATAATTATGTTAATCAGAAATGAAAAAAGACAAATCGGAAAATTTCATACAGAATAAAATTGATACACATTTCAAACATGTGAAAAAGTACACAATATGTGTGATTGAGGAATTCAGACACTCTGAAACCTAAGGAAAAGGAAGAGAATGAAACCAAAATTTCAAGGCACATGTTTCATTCTAAGAGTAAGTTTTGGGCAATGGGATGACATCAAGAAGAAGCATGGGGCTTCAATGTTACTGGTTTATATTTTAAGCTCAGAGTCAGATACATATGGGTCATTTATATGTAACCAAGATAATACTAAGGTACTACCAAAATAATTATATAATTACTATTTTTGCAGTTTTCAATAGTTGTTTTTGTGTATGGATGTGTGGGGAATACCGGAGATTGAACTCAGGGGCATTTGACCTCTGAGCCACATCCCCAGCCCTATTTTGTATTTTATTTAGAGACAGGGTCCCACTGAGTTACTCAGCACCTTCCCATTGCTGAGGCTTGCTTTGAACTCACAATCCTCCTGTCTCAGCCTCCCAATCTGCTGGGATTACAGGCACACCCAGCTGTGTAATTTTTTCAAGTAGGGAAAACTACCTGTTAGAGGATAGTAATATTTTTCTGGAGAAATCTAAGGTTGAAACTGTTTCTGAATTGAAAGATATTCCCATTTTTTTAAATATTTCAAGGTCATCATGAGTGGTAGACATTCTTAGAGCTCATCTGAATAAAAGTAGGTGCTCTGGGCCATGTCCTTTCACAGTTGAACCAGAGAACCTACTTCTTGAAAAAGTTCTTTTGATATTTCTTACATTTTCTAAGAGTCACACCAATGCTCGATAAAATAAAAAAAAAACAAAACAAAACAAAACAAAAACATGGCTTTGGTTTTTCTAGATGCAATTGATGAAATTCATTTTTTTCCTTGTGTAGAAAAAATAGTTTTAGCAAAATTCATGTTAGATATCCACTAGTAGAAATCTCCCTAACTCCCACATATTTGATGAAGGTCGACATCACATATCATAGGTGGTATGGCATGAAAACAAACGATAAGGAAGATAGAAATTAAGAATGTGGCACAGAGAAGACAAAGCACAACAGCATCAGCACGGAGCTCACCTGCTGTGATTGCCTTGACCACACAGCCAGCGAGCACCTTCCTAAATTGCTCTGCTTGGACCTGATGTATACTTCTCCAGCTGGTCTCCCCAAGATCCACATCGAGAAAGCAGCCAATGTTGTTTTCAGAATGGAGCAGATTCTTATATTTAGCAGATACCAAACTACATCATCCAGTCTCATAAACGGAATACTCACAGTTTGTTGGATAAAATGTTGCATTGCTGAGGATAGAGGAGTTTGACCTTGTCAGGATGGTAATGAAGTTGTCTGATGATGGCCAAGTGAGGCTCCTTTAGGTTTTCTGTATATAAAGACATAGAGATTTAATGTATTAGTAAGTCAGAAAAGGCTTGGCTCAACTGAAGGACTGTGGAAGTCCTGCTCATCCTTTAGTGTTCTGAACCTCCCACTGAGCTTGAACCTCATTTTTCAAGGATATTCAGTAAGTCCTAATAAACCACATAAACACTCATGGAGAGAAAGCCATGACTTTAAAATATAATTGTAGTATTGGTGCAGTTGTAACTTTCCAAGAAGAGAAACTGGAGTATGAAAGCAAATTTCATTGCTTTGCTTTCTCCTTTTCTATATATTCAAATCCTTCACAATAAGCATGAATTCTCTTTGTAACTAACATGAATGAAAGGTATATAAATGAAGTGTGTTAGTTTATTTATATTTAATGACATGGTTTTAAATGTTTTCTCCAAAATCTTTACCACATGCTCCTCAGAGCATTAATCTCTGGGATATATAAAGAACTCAAAAAACTTCACACACACACACACAAAAAAAAAAAAAACAATCAATAAATGGACTAAGGAACTGATCAGAGACTTCACAGAAGAAATATGATCAGTCAACAAATATATGAAAAAAAATGTTCAACATCTCTAGCAATTAGAGAAATGTGAATGAAAGCTATATTGACACTCCATCTCACTCCAGTCAAACTGGCAGTTTAAGAAGAATACAAATAACAATAAACACTGGCGAGGATGTGGGGGAAAAGGTACACTCACACATTGCTGGTGGAACTGAAAATTGGTGCAACCACTATGGAAAGCAGTATGGAGTTTCCTCAGAAAACTTGGAATGGAATGGAACCACCATTTGACCCAGTCATCCCATTCCTCGCTATGTACTCAAAGGACTTAAATCAGCATATTAAAGGGATGTAGCCCCATCAATGTTTGCAGCATCTCAATTCACAATAGCTAAGCTATAGAACCAACCTAGGTGCCCTTCAATAGATATACCACAAACATACACACACACACACACACACACACACACACAGACCCACAATTAATATTACTCAGCCTTAAAGAAGAATAAAATTATGGCATTTGCCAGTAAATGGATGGAGCTAGAAAATAACATACTAAGTGAAATAAGCTAATCCCAAAGAACCAAAGGACAAATGTTTTTTTCTGATATGTGGATGCTAATTCACAATAAGGGGGGCGGTGGTTAGGGAAGAATAGAGGTAATTTGGATTTGAAAGAGGGGAGTGAAAGGAAGGGAGGGGGTATGGGGATAGGAAGGAGAGTAGAATGAATTGGACATTATTACCCCATGTGCATATATGATCACACCACTAGTGTGATTCTACATCATGTACAACCAGAAAAATGAGAAGTTATACTCCATTTATGTATGATGTCAAAACGTATTCTACTGTCATGTATAACTAATTAGAACATATGTTTTAAAAAGAAAAATAGATAAAATGCTTTCTCCAGCCAGAAAACTAGTAATTAGCATTGTGCATAAAGCAAAATTGTAAAGTAGAGAAATCAGTCATTAGTAATCTTCTACTTTTCTTTCTGTGACCTTGTATCATACTCTGATCTACTCAAGGCATGCACTCTCTAAACACCCTCTTCTTGCTATAACTCCCTTCCCATTCAACAAAACTTCCCCTTTCTCTACTCAAATTCTCATCCACTCACTGCCACAATGTCAGTATTCACTAAAGTATCTGAGGCTCAAATACAGTCAGAACCTGTTTTTTGCTTTTCTGAGAAGCATGAATTTCAGATTCTATGGTATAGCAATGTAATACCAGTTCCTTAAAATCGTGATTCAAATTTCATTTATCACAGTTGCATTTACCCTGACTTAATGGTGTTGCATACTCATTTTGCGGCTAACTCCTCAGTCTATAAATTACTATGTAAATAATAAATGTGCATCCTGATCAGCAACCGGACCCATCATTCCTCTCAGTTCTCTTTGTCATCAGTCCCTGTACATCTGTTATTCAGTTCATGAACAGGCAGTAAATGTGTAGCTGTGTCGTCTCCTTGTCTCCCAGTAATAAACCTTAAAGAAGAAATAACTGACCATGGGAAGCTACTGCCCTTCAGAAAAATCTATCTATATTGCAGAAAGAACTTATTGAAATTAAACTTATTGATGTAAAAACAGCAAGAGGTTGGAACTAACATGAAGATGTCCTAGAGAAATTGACAGTGGTAGAAATTTTCATGTTAGCGGAATAAAGGTCACAATAGCAAGAATGCAAAGGATAAAATGATGAAAGCTAAAATTCAAAACTAGGAGGAAGTATGCTGTCTTTCAAGGCATACAGGAGATACCAGCTTCATATCATAAGATATAGAAAAGTGAAACAGCATCCAAACTACTCAGTGTTTTCTTTCTACAAATTAGATATAGTTCTAGGGCTTGAATCCTAGGCCTTGTACATGGTACATGCTCCACCACTGAGCTACATCCCTAACCCTAAAACATTTGGATACTTATTGTGTCTAATGATTTAAATTAGGTTTAAATAAATACTATTTTAATTTTACTTTTTAAAATTTCCTTATACATTTATGACAAACACTAAGAGTTTTAATGATTTGCTGAAGTTTGTATCAAGTGATGCAACAGGTTTAATTTTTCCATTGATTTAGAACATGGTTTCAGTCTTTCCTCAGTGATCAAAACTACTGTTCCAAGTGTGAGATCCACCTATTGACACACATTGTCTGCAACATTGATTCCAATGGAAGTTGCAAAAAAATGGCGGGGAAAATGGAACTAACTTGAAGCCCTAACTCTTAACACATGTTCACTTTGTGACCTTCATCTTTTCACTTAACCACTTAGTTGTATGTTTCCCATTTTTACAAAAGAGATATGAATTCTTTCCTTGCAACATGGTTGTGATGATTAAAGAGTGAAGGAAACAGAAGCAGTAGATTGTAAAGCATAGTACATGTGTTAGTTGTTATTAAGGAGTACAAGACTTGGAGAAAGTTGATTATTGCTCCTTCCATTCATATCCTAAAGTAGAACAATAGTAACATGATATACTCATCCAAAGAAATGAACCTTAAATAAGAGGTATTCAATGACTATTTTAGAAACTAGCAAAAAGTATGCAAAAATAAAAAGCATTCCTGGGATACCGTAAGTCCTAAGCCAAACTCTTCTCCCTAAGCATAAACTATTCCCATATATAAATATAGTTCTTGAAATATTATTTGGATTCCAAACCTTTTGGAGTCTGTATCTTGTCCCAAAAAGTACCTCATTCTCGTATCCCGGAATCATTTCATTGACTCAGTAAACCATGGCTTCAATGAACTAATATTAATTGTGCTACAATAGCAAAAAACGCAATACCAAAGGAAAGAAAGGAGGAATGGAGAAAAATATATGACTCCAAAAATGTTTTAAATTTAGTGTGCAATTGCCAAATTTTCTGGGAGTCTAATAATTTCCAAAGTGGCATTGAGTAAGAAGATTGTATAAATAGAGAAAAATGTCTATGGTCAGTTTTGAAAGTAATATAAGACTTAGGTTCACAATAAAATTTACAAGTCATACTAACTTCATTTGCAGACCCTAAAATTGGTAGGAAAAACGCACAAACAAGCTCTTAAAATGTGCTTAATGTCCCTGATTAAGTAAAAAATGTTAGGACAGCCTAAAGACCCACTACCTTGTTTGCCCTAGTTTCACAGTTTACAGAGTGGGCTGTCTATACAGGCCAAGGATGGGTTGATTGTCAGAAGAAAGGAGGTGGTGGATGAGATCTCATGTCTAATTCTCAGTAGCTGATACTCACCACACTTCAGAAGGGAGATAGGGAATGCATTCCTGACTAAGGAACCATCTCTTCTACTGTCTGGAGGTTGAACCAAGACCCCATTTGAACTCTGTCTAGTATGGATTCCACACCAACCCAAAGTCTCACCAGAAGTCAGCAAAATAGTTTTGCAGTCCTTGAACCCAGACTTTCAATCTGTTCATCGTCTAGGAGCCTTTATCTGGCCACCCTGAAATTGCCTTAAGAAGAACAAGGAAAAGAGAAATCAAGGAAAACAACTTTTTAATCTAAGACCCAAAAGAGAACTCACTCGTGCCACCTACACACCCTTGCCATGTCCTCCTTTCCTCAGCAAACTCAGACCTGCTGGGTGGTGAAAGCACAGTGCTCAGCCCCTGCTTCTCCCCCAAGCAGGACACACTAGTCTTTTCCTTATACCCAAGCTAAGAAAGAGGTGCAAGAGTCCATCCAAAAGGAAAATACTATGAATGAGGAAAAGACCAGAAGATCCCCAAAAGGGGAAACCATCCTCACAAGAGCCCCCCCACCTACATCAGAAATTCTATCCCAAGCCAGCTGCGGCAGCGCACGCCTGTAATCCCAGCAGAGACTGAGACAGGAGGATCCAGTTCAAAGCCAGCGAAAAGCGAGGTGCTAAGCAACTCAGTGAGACCCTGTCTCTAAATAAAATACAAAATAGGGTGGGGATGTGGCTCAGTGCTCAAGTGCCTCTGACTTCATTCCCAGGTACCAATAAATAAATAAATTAATTAATTAAATAAAAATCTTCTATCCCAAACAAGGGCCTGGTTATTCTTCCCCATTTCACAACACTTCTCTTTGAGGGTGAAACAAGGGACATCACAGGACACAATTCTATAACTCCCTGTTGGCCACCAAATGCCTCTGATGCACTGACTTAGCCAAAGCAATCAACACTTGTCTTACACAAGAGTTTTTGTCTAAATGTTGGACGGTTTTCCACAACACTGATGGATGTCTCTGGTTGGCTCTTTGACTTTCTGAGTATAGAATCTATATTCATTCTCCAAATTTTTCTGAGCAAAAGAAATAGCTTCATCAGAAAACAAAACAAAACAATCCCACAGATCCATCAAGAAGATGTTTCTCAAAGTTTTAAAGGAAGTTTTCAACCATCTAAAGTAGAAAGAACCCCCATGCATTTTCCCAGCTTCTACAATTATTAACGTTTTAATGTTGGTAATGACACTAGG